TTTCTGTTAGAAAGATGCTATTATAATGAGTTGAGTTGTGCACCGTCCCCTCCCCCCAGATTCATATGTTGAAGTCATAGCCCTCATTACTTCAGAATGTGACTTTACTTGGAAATAAGATCTTTGCAGATGTAACTAGTTATGATGAGGTCATACTGGAAAAGGGTGAGCACCTGATTCAATATGAATAGTTTCCCTTATTAAAAGGAAAATATGGACACAAGTGTAAACACAGGGAGAATGCCGTCTGAAGACTGAAGCTAGATTAGAGGCCTGGAATGTATCTTTCTCTGATGCCTTCAGATAGAACATGGCCCTGATGACTCCTTGATCTTGGGCTTATAACCTCCAGAACTATGAGGCAATATACTTTTGTTGCTTAAGCTACCTAGATTGTGATAACTTTTACAGCAGCCTTTGCAAATAACTATAAACTCCCAATTTATTTTTCCATTTTAGTAGTTACTTCCAGATCAGAATTTGAAGTTAAATAATATAGCATTTTTTGGTTTGGAATCCTGATTACATTGATCAATTATGTGAAAAACTACATTGAATTGGTCTCTGTCTGTACTTTTCCTGTGACGAGTGTCTTAGGGTTTAAAGAAGTGATCAAAATATTATTAAAATATATTAGCATTTATAACTTGACATTTAGGCTGCCTACTTGACATTTTGGTTGTTAAACCCTCCTTTGTCCCTTCTCAATAATAAAAATGATTTTGCCCAAGTCCCCCCACTTCTCCCATATGAAACAGAGATGTGATTCTAAACCCAGTATTCCTAAAATCTGCTTTGTTTAAGAAACCATTCATAGGAACCCTGTTTTTATTTCCAGTGATTGATTTAGAAATGTACAATGCAGTTTTGGCAACTGAAACCTAGGAAGAATCTTGATGGGGGATTTTTAAGAAAAGTTTCCTTGCTCTTGAAGAAGGGACACCAAAGAAAATGTTCCTTCTGCCTTCTCTGATGCAGCCCCCTTTTTGTCCACATGACACCCAGTCTTTCAGAAAATTGCTCACAGACTGGACAGAGTGAGAAGCTGGATTCTTGGTGAGGTTGGAAGCTGTGACTGGAGACTGTTCTATCTCTGCCCTTACACGAGATGATAAATTTCCTAATGTCCCTGCTAGTTTGATTCAGCATATTGGTTCTTATAGTTTAAAGCATCTGAATTACTATATAACCGTTCCTTTCTAATAACCTTCCGGTTTATTTAGCTGAATCTTTTTGCTAATGTCTAAGCTCTACAAGAACTCTGTTGGAAAATTATTCTGCTTTCCTTAGTGCTCTAAACATTTCTTAATTTGTTATAGCTTCGAACATCACTAATTGATGCAGAGCATGTGTGTTGCAAATAGACTACAAATGTAATGAGATACTGACTCCTCTGGTCCTTCAAGTGACTGGGTAGAGTCTGGAGTACCTGGAAACCTCATGGTGGTTGCCTTTGTCCTGAAAGCAAGCATCAGACTCCACATATTCAAGAGTGCTGAATAAATATTATTTTCAAATGTTAATACTGAATTAAGGTAGTTTAGCTTATTTCAAAAATAATTAGAAAAGATATTCAATAATCTAAACCTAAAGATCGCATGGAATATCAGTATATAGGAACATCAATTAAATAATTAATGGAAAGGCTTCTAGTAGGCTGAAGCTAGTCATATTTCCCTTGACTCCATATCCCTTTTGTGTATTGTTGTCAATGACCCTAAATTTCCTGTGGGAATAGGAAAGCAACAGCAATGCCAGAGCATTGGTTTAGAGCACAGACCACCTGACTTCTAGTCTGTGTCTACCTTGGGACTATGAGTAAATCCTCCAACCTCTCCAGAATTCATCTTACCTGTTAAGTTGAGACTTGGACTACTTGGTCCATGGCAGACCAAGTTCTTTATTTTGATTTTTAAAAAAATGATTTTAAAAAAATTCGTTGATTAGTGAATTTGCCGCCTCTTTATAAATAAATGCTGTTTGTTACTCAGGGAGCTTATATATTTTTTTCTTTCATGCTATTTATTATATATTATATTTAGTTCTCCAAATTTTTAGTTTTCAAATGTTAAATGGTAGACAGCAAGAATTTTGAAAATAGCAGACAGGTATAGTAGATAATGTCACACTATCTCCTCTGATAATGAATAATAACTTCATAATGAATTAAAGCATTATATCCTTAAAGAAGAAGCTATGTGTAGGAGGAGAAGAGGAGGTTAAAGACTGGCACATAATCAACAGCAAATTTGTGAAATCGTGTTCCCTCAAAAAGTCTTATGAAGTCAAACATAAAATGGTATCCAAACAAACAAAAATACCCACAAAGAAATCCCAGAATAAAGCAAGACCCTACAATTAGAGGGTAGGTAGAATTCTGAAACATTTTAGTTGTTCACTTTTTTTTTTACTTCCATTAAAAAAAACATGAGTTTTAAATGTCCTTAATGTAGTGTGTGTGTGTGTGTGTGTGTGTGTGTGTGTGTGTGTGTAGGAATGGGAGGGATGGGAGGCAAGAGGTTGGCAAAGAGGATAAAGAAGTTATTTATCTCTTTTTCAAAGAAATCTCAGACAGACATGATGACCCACCTATATTTTCTACTGCGGTGGTGAAGCATTTTTACCACAAGTCTCTGCAGAATTGAAGTATTTAAGACAAAACACAAGATAACGTGTTTCACACTTAAAAGCATGATAGACTCTAGCTTACAGGTAAGGTGAGATGAGGAGCTTTAACACACTGTGGAGTTTTAAATATCTCTGATATTAAGTGCTTTGATTGCAAAAATAACTCCAAAAGGACACGGCATGACCTAAAGTATAGAGATGAGTCTCTTTTTCTGAGCAATATAAGATGCAGTCCTTTTCAACAAAGTCCAGCCATGCATATACTATATAATATCTGAGCACTGATGGCACCAACCCTGTGGTTCACTTCCCCTTTGGGGTTCTGAAGTGGCTGGGGGAGGAGGGAGACTAAGGGCTTTAATTATATTTAACACAGAAGGGAGAGAGCAGCTTTGAGGTATCCTACGATAGACCTCTCTTCTGGACTGATCGCAAACACACCACTCAATATAGAGATGTTCTCTGGCAGAGTTTTCAACATTCCAAGTGAACTAGAACTACCATTTTATCTGTTCATATATTCATTCATAAATTGTTTATGGCATACTCATCTTGGGTAAGATACAGCGCTTAAGAAGGCAAAGACCCTGCCTTCATGGAGCTTATATTCTTGAGAGGGAGATTGAGAACAATGAAACCATTAACAGAAACATTGTTTCAGAGAGTGATTAAGTACTGTGAAGAAAATAGAGCAGGGCCCAGTCTTTAGAGAAGACACTAGGTTTGTGGCCATTTACCACTGTGTGATCACGTAAGGAAAGGCTCTCTGCAGAGGTGACGTTTGAGCTGAGACTTAAATGACAAGAAGATTCCAGCAGGCAAAGTACCAGGCAGAAGGGATCCTTCTTGCGCAAGGAGCATGTAAGAGGAATGGGTAACAATGCTAGCTAGAATCTGGGGACTTCCAGGGACTGAAAGAAGGCCTCTGTGGCCAGAACATCGTTAGCACGTTTAGATGAGGTTCCAGAGTTGGAACAGGAGTGTCACTTTTATTGTTACTGCGATTGGTATCCATTGGAGGTTTTAAACCGTGAGTCGGAAGTGGATTATTTAATACAATTGACATTTAAAAATACAATATCGCACTTCGATTTCACTACTTTCAAACCTAATTTCTAATTCCGTGCGGGTCAAACGGCACTCCAGCGTCCCTGTTTGCCCAGGCTGTTTGCGCTCGCCGCCGGCTTGTTTGCACCCGGTGTCCTGCTTTTGACAGCCACGGAGGAGTCTGTGACAGTTGGCAGGCGCAGTGAGGCACAGCCAGAGCCAAGTCGCTGCAGGGGCCAGGGCTGCGGGAGTGGAGGAAGGGAAGGAGGCTGTGGCTGCGCGCTGGGAGGGCCAAGGCTTTCCCTGCGAGCGTCGATGTGATGCGACTTCGAACAAGACACAAGGAAGCGCTTCCCTACGAACTCGGGGTTCACTGGGCCCCTGGTTGTTGCATCCCGAAGGTTCGCCGGCTATGCCTGGATTTGACATTGAAAACAATGCTGGCTCGGGATTGGAGGAAATGGCGCGAGTAGCGGAGGCGGGAGCGACTAAAGGAGTTTCCTTTTCTCCAACCTTGCTCCGCCAGGCCTGGCCGCGGGCCCCAGCGGCTGCACCCAAGGGAGGCGCAGGTGTTGATTTAAAGCTCGGCTCCGGCAGGCCTTCTGCTCAACAAACTGCGGCGCCCGCAGCCCGGGGAAATCCAGAGCCAGGTTTTGTGATCCGCCTGCATGTAGAGGCCGCGCTCGGAACCGGTGGCCCGAGGACTGGAACCCGGGAGTTTCGGACCCTGCGGGGGTCATCGCCCTCGCTACAGTTTGCTGGCCACCGACAGCTAGGGACCACTCTGTGGGCAGATGACCCACAGCCCCTACTCCCTCGGGCCTTGGCAAAGTGAGCAATCTGGAGCCAGTCTCCCCCGGGAAACCGCAGGTTCGCATTCTGTGGAGCGATCTCCGCCCACTGGCGCGAGCTCTGCTTTCAGATCGCCGTCTCAGTGGCACTTCCAAGGCCTCTTTTCAGCACGCCGTCTGAATTAGCTATCCACTCACGCTCCATCACATCACCCTTATTAAGGCCCAGCGGGACAATTCTTTTAGTCTTGTGTGCCTTCTCTGTTTATTGTCTGTCTCTGGAATGTCCACTACGAGGGGCAATGGCAATGGTCGTTGTTTTTTGGGCGCAGTATTGGGATCCGGTGCCTAGGACTTGGCGGGGCCGGGACCCAGTAGTCGGTCACATTTGCTCCATGACCGAACGTCGTCCCCCAGCACCGTGGAGCTGGAGCAGCCCCACTTCCCGGAGGGGCGGGGCCTCACTGGGCCCCGCCCACAGGGCAGCCCCCAGCGCTAACCTGCTCCTCCCTTTCCTCTCGGCGGGGAGTCGGCCTCCGGCTGTGCGGTGTTTTTCCCACTAGCCTCCCTCCCATTCCGTAGCTGTGGCAAAAACCCGGAGCAGCGGAGCCCCCGAGCTGCGGACCGGCGCCGCCCCTCGCAGCACCTCCCCGACAGCCCTCTGCCGCCGCGCTGGGCATGCTCAGTCGACAGGGCCGCTTCAGTTCTTGGAGTAGGAAGCTAGGGAGCTTCGGCTGTAAGGAGCCGCGGCGGGGCGAAAATGGATCCCTTTACTAACGGTGAGTAGGCAGCCGGAGGCGTCGGGGCCGGGACTCTCTGGGGAGCAGAGGGACATTGGCTGTCGTGACACGCGGGGTAGGTGGGGCTGCAGTAGCTCCCCCACCGTGGGCTTCCCACGAGGGTTTGGGGGCGGTGGAAGCCGACTGGGGGAGGCAGCCTGAGGCTGGAGCGGGGGGGGGCGGGCAGAGGCCGGCGCGGGACCGGGGTCTGGCGTGAAGGTCAGTGCCATTGCCTGCCGAGGATCTGGGGGCGCTGGATGCCGCCAAACCCGTTGCACGGCCAGGTGGGCGAACGGCAAAGTTTGGGTTGCTTTGCGCAGTGGAGGGGAAAGTTGGCCGACCGGGTTTGCCCCTGGATAAGGCGGGTGTCGGTCACGGCTCTTCGGCAGGAAGGGTTAAGCCTCCGCCGCCGCCAAACCAAACTTCTGTGATGCACCGAGAGCTGTTCCCCCTGTCCTTCCGCGGGTTGCCATCGTGACTTTTCCTAATAGGGTGGGGTGGAGGGTGGGGGCTTTGCAGGTTAATTTAGTGGAAGGAAGGGAAACTTGCGGAAAGGCTTGCATCGTCCCGTTCGGTGCCCAGTAGCTGCCTGCCCGCATTGTCACCCTCCTTTCTGTTGCTGAGGCACTCCGCAGGGCGTTCAAGCTTCCCTTCACGGGCTCCTGATAATACCACTGTTTCAGTCGAAGACTCGTTAAATATCAGGGGTCCGTCATGGTGATATCACAATGTGACTTGAGGGGACAGTCAAAGCAGGAGCCTGCAGGATGCCCTGCAGACAGTCACAGCTCTGTCCTGAATGGACAGAATAAATCCCACCCTAGTTAAAACCGATGGCTTTTGTTTGGACCAGAAGTTCCAGAGTCACAATATAGGGGTGAGATGCCTTACCATTTTGTGGTGTTGAGTATATGGATTCCCTTTTGGGGCAGAGAGTAGGAAAACTGCCAGTAAGTGAGAATTCCTACTAAAATTAGACGATTCACTCCCTGGTTGACATGTTTTCTTGCGGGTGGTTGGTTACTTCAGGTAGACAGTTTGTCGTATTAATAAAGAGAAGCCAGCATCTACTACTTGGTTAGGTGGGTCACTTGCCACTCAAGAGACAGACATTGACCACTGTATCCCAAACCCTAACCAAACTTTGTCGTATGCTGTGCTTCATTCATGGGACTGTGAATTACTCGAATTACTCGTTCTATTCTCCTTGTCCTTAATTCAGAATAGAATGCTTTATTCTACTGCCATCTTCCTGTCTGTAGTGTCTAATTAGGCTTAATGGTGACAACTTTATTTCTGAATTTTCTTTCTCATTCAGGTTCTATTTGTTATTACTATGGCTCAAGAATAGCCAGATAACGATACTAAGAGAATTAAGGGGGATTTGAGCTGAAAGTAAACTTTGAGACCATCTAGTATTTTAGTGTAAAGTATGTTTGATACAAATCATTAAATCCTTTCGAATGACTTTTCCAAGGCTTTTTCTTTGTCCTACGTAGAATACTTGGAGCTTTCATGTTTGTAGAATTTTAAATGTGAACTTTCACTTAAAAAAACCTTCCGCACAACAAGGCTGAGTCACACATTTGGTCAAGATTATTGCTAGCTGATTTGGTGGATCTGTGCCTCCAGAATTAAAGTACATTCTCAAGTCTTTGAACTGGGGCCTTTTCTCCTTTCCTAAAATATGTTCCTCTAAATGTGAATATTTGCCAACTTTCACATTTGAAAAGGGAATGGAAAAGTCCCAGAAAAGAGAACAAAAAGGAAGCAGTGCTTCAACTTTTATGTAGGAAATTGGATTTTTAATCCTTTTCCCGTCTGTCTTCCACATTTTCAGAATCTGCTGGAGACAGTTTGACAGTGCATCATTTTAGTGTGTTAATCACTCCTTGGAGGCTTGTCTAGTGTCCTTTACGAAGAAGTAGAAACTACCATATCTAAAGTCAACAAAAAATTAGCTGCTAGCAATTTGAGGTGCTTGCCAGGTTTAAGGTGGACTGAAATAAAAATTATTTAGTTTAGAACTTTTGAAGGATAGCTGTAGAATTTCCTAGTGTCTTTAAATAGGACTTGGTATAGTGGAAAGTATGTTTATCTTTATACTTAATCTTACTGAGTACAAAGGATAGGTACATCTAGTTCTTCTCCCCTTGGTCTGGATGTTTTGGTGTAGACTATTTCATTATTCATAGAATTTATAATTACAGGATTTATTGAACTTGATATTGGCTTTTGTTGCACATTCATCCTCTTTTGATAAAATCTTCATCACTTTCTGATATATCCCTACATAGATGGAGAAGTGTGAGAGCTTAACAAAAACCATTTTTAGCAGTTCAGAACCGCATATCTTCCATTTAAAACCTCGTCAATGGTTTCACCCTCTGACCTAGAAATTTGTAAAGGAGGCACATTAAGTTTCTGTTTTGTCATTTTGACCATCAGGAAATTTGTAAAGGAGGCACATTAAGTTTCTGTTTTGTCATTTTGACCGTCAGTAGTTAACTATTCCAGTATGGCTTTCTGTGCTTTCCCGGTTTTCTGTCAAAACTTGCCGCTGGTGTGGCTCATTTTTCTTGGGCACTCCTCTCTGCCTGCTGATAATGGGTGCATTTGATGAGTATCCTATGTTAACCTGTCCAGCTAACATACTGCTATAATCTATTTAATATGCTTACCTCCAGAAAGGGTTTATAAGAAGGGACCCTAGTGTCAGAAATTCCCATTAGGCTCAGGAGATATTTTAGATCTTGCCCATGGGAGGGACTGCTGACTGTTACACTGAAGACTGGATATCCAGTCTGGCTTTGGACTTTTGGTGACTTTTTATGGGAAGAAAGATGCACTGGACCAGTACTCAAGATTGGTTTGGCAGTAGCCATTATGTCCTGTTAGGCAGTTAGAGGTGAAATTATGTTACTATTATGTTATTTTACTATGTTATGTTACTATTATGTTATTTAACAGAAGGGAGCTTTTGAGAACTTTTATTAGGTAGAAAAATTCAGAATTTAGAAGCATACTGATGGAGAAGGACTTCTTTTCCTGCCATACACACACACACAAACAAACACACATATATGTTTTTGTGTATATATTTATATATTTTTCCCCCTGTGCTTTTTAGTTTGTGGTATCTAGAGGATAGAGAAGCATTGATATTTTGAAGTCCCAGAACTGAAAACCTAAGTTAAACAGTTGGTCATTTTTTCTTATGACAAAGCCCCAAGGAATCACTTCGGTATTACCACCTGGTATCAAACAAGGGGAATTTACCTGTCGTAGAAACTAGGTTTTTTGTTTGTTTGTTTGTTTGTTTTGTTTTGTTTTGTTTTCAGACTGGCATCCAATTGAAAGCATTACCCAACTTCCAAAATGGGAAGTCTGGACAACAGATTATATATTCATAGATTATAATGTAGCATAACATTGTGATTTCATCTTTTTTAAAAAAAAACATTTATTTTTGAGAGAGAGCGAGCGTGAATGGGGAGGGGTGGAGAGAGAAAGAGCAGGACAGAAGATCTGAAGCTGGCTCCGTGTTGACATCAGAGAGCTCAGTGTGGGGGTCGAACCCATGAACAATGAGATCATGACCTGAGCCAAAGGAAGTAGGATCATAACTTGATCCAAAGTTGGTCGCTTTAAGGACTGAATCACCCAGGTGCCCCCATCTTTTTATCTTACAAATAACAGTTGTCCTATAGTTATGCATTTCTTTTTTTAAAAAAAATAGCATCATCTGTCAAAAATATGAGCTTACCACATTTTGTTTATACATATTTCTTTTGTTCTGTGACAAATAACCGTATTGAAAGAAAATCCTTAAAAAATGGAAGATCATAATTTCTCTATGTGATGAAATATAAGTTAAAATATGTTTTTATTCTTTGTCTTGAGTTTTCAATTTCATTTAAGTGAATAGGAATCAAGTATTAACAGGATTTAATATTCTAAGGTTAAGGCTATAACTAGAAACTATCCAGTTTTGAAGGAGAGCAGTGGGGGGATAGTCCTTTGCTTTGTATAACAATTTCCAAAACAATTTTCCTGCCATACACACTTGCCATATACTTGAGACAAACAGTATATTTTAGGAGCAATTAAAATCAGTGATTATTGCTTCTCTACAGATGATCCTTAAGAACTGAAAGATATAGAACCAGAAAGATTGGTTATAAGGAAATTACCATAAAGAAAATCAGCCAGGGGTGATTTCCTCTTCAGTAATTCATTCCAGCACTGTTTTTTGAATGCCCACTTTCAAGTAGATATTCTGTGCTGGGCACAGCTGCAGACCTGTCATCAGATAATGCTGACCTCAATAAGAGAAATGAAATGGAAGAATCTAGTTTTGCTTTCATGCTAATACAAAACTAAAAAATAAGAAGAAACAAAAGCAATAAAACTTTGAGAGTTTTCTAATTATGAAATAAATGTACCAAACTGTCTTAAAACCTACTCATATAACACCTATCACCAATAAGCTCACATTTCTAATGCTTTGGTGTAACACTCTTGTTAAGAAATGAGAACGTTTTGAACTCTCTCTGTGAAAGCATTAGGAAATTGTGATATGAGGGAATTTAGCCAACATTACCTCTGAAGTTGTGGTGGACCTACATCAGGCCTGTGGCTCTGGGCGGTAGAGATTAGGACAGTGTAGCTGTGTTCTGTCAGTTGGTTACCTCATGCCTTGAAAACTGTAGGAGCTTGGAGCTGGAGCTAATAATACGAGTAAATCTTTCCATAGTATTATTGGAGCAACCAGAGAATGTGTTTGTTTTGGTTTTTTTTTTTCCTTTTAATTTGAGTCTCTAGCTATATACCTTTCCTGAGCGTTCATAGGAAACCAAGAATGGGAATGGAGGAGAATTTTGGAGCCTGTGTGGTAGTTCAGCCCCTTGTATATCTAGTGGCCTTTGTAAAGAAAGCTGCTTGCTCATTGCCCTGTGATTCTGTGCAGTAAATATGACAGAAATAAAATAGTTCTTGTT